ATGCCCCACACTGGGGATCAAGCCCACAGCTGGGTCATGTGCCTTGACCAGGAATTGAACTGTGACTTCCTGGTTCATAGGTTGACGCTCAATCACTGAGCCATGCCAGCGAGGCAGAGAATGGAAATTTTAATGGAAAAAACCCAGAAGTGGCTTTAGGATCCAGGGGTCAAAGGATGTTTTTAGGAATCTGTTTTTCCCCTCTAAATTCTGCATTTCCCTAGATTGGCTTCACTCTATGGCTAACCATCCTCTCATGGGCACTGAGATGGCCACCAGCAGTGCCAGGCTTATATCCTGCAGCCTTTCTTCCTACTGGCTTGGGCACCCCAGCCTAAGGAGAACTTGTCTTTCAGCACAAGTTCTGGGAGCAGTTCTCATTGGCTGGAATTGGTCACGTGCCCATCTTTGAACCAATCAAATCACCAAGACTGGTTAGAAAAGACTAGGTCATATGCTCAGTTTATGGACCTTGGGAATGGGACAGCCCTACTTAAACCACATGGATGGGGAAGAGGATGACATGTAGTTCCCCAGAAGAAAATTGTTATAAGAAGCCCTGCTGGACAGGTAAACATTAACTACACTTCTCAGGCGCGAGGGGGCTCCCTCCACCAGGCTGTCTGATGTAGGGGGTAAGAGGTCTGGCACCCCTGGTGGAGATGATACACTTGAGCTCATCACTGAGGTCAGTTCCTGAGGCCAGGATTACACGTTCCGTTTCCAGCCCTTGTGCCTTTCCGGTTTCGGAAGTGCTCTCATCGCCCCTGTAGGCGAACAGGTCCAGTGGATGCTGTCATCCCTCAGTCGGGCAGACATCTGGGCTCTGAGTGGCTTGTCCCCGGTCACGTACATGGGCTTCTATTCCAGAGTGTGTGGCTCCGGGTCACTTTTTCCCTTCCCTCGTGGACAATTTTTGGGAAGGTTATTGATTGTACCCCTAGCCTTAGCTGACCATCTGAGAAACGGAGGCCCATTAGTCGTGGGGTAAAGTGTAAATGGTTCAATGCAGCGGCATCGCCTCTCTTGGAAAAGCACATCTTTTATATCCGTTGAGGGTTTTTCATCCTTGGCACGAACGGTAATTCTTGGCTGTCGGGGGCTGCCCTGTGCGTTGGAGAATGTTTAGCGGCATTGCTGGCCCCTGCCCACAGATGCCAGTAACACCCTCCACTCGGTCTTGACAACCAAGAAGTTCCCAGACATCGCCACTGAGCACCACTGGGTAGAAGGTTGGCCCCTGACCTAGGTTCTTACACTGAAGACAACCCCTGCTCCAAGGATGTCTGTGACCTGTTTTTCTAGTCTTGAAAGACTAACCATTAGACCTTGATTCGTTTACTGTTTATGCTGTTTTCTTTTTTTTACTTTATTTTTATTGTTGACACTACTACAGATGTCCCCATTCCCGCCCTACCCTTTGTCTACCTCTACCCAGCCCCCTGACTGCTTATACTTTTATTTTTATTATTTTTTATTTATTTATTTTTAAAAATATTTTTATTGCTTTCAGAGAGGAAGGGAAAGGGAGAGAGAGTTAGAAACATCAGTGATGAGAGAGAATCATTAATCGGCTGCTTCCTGCACGTGCCCCACTGGGGGTCGAGCCCGAAACCGGGCATGTGCCCTGACCGGGAATCGAACCATGACCTCCTGGTTCATAGGTTGAAGCTCAACCATTGAACCACACTAGCCAGGCTGCTTATTCTTTTAAAGTGCCATCCTGTCTCCCTCTTAGTAATCTTCAGCTTATTCCTGTAGAATAGCGAGCAGAGCCCCAGTCCCTTTGTGTCCCAGCTTAGTTTGCAAAAGACATTGACATATAATAATTCTTCTCTATTGTAAGCGTTCCTTTTAGTTTACTTCCCATGATTAAATCAAAGTCATTTGGAAAAAAAGAATAGTGAGAGGAATAATATTGCTAGTAGTTTTCACTGCGCTAAATACTTTAAATTGCATTTCCTCATTTACTTGTCACAGCGGTATTTCCAGAAGGTGGGCTTGACATTATTCCTGTTTTTTTAGATAAGGAAAATAAGGCAGAGAGGTTAAAAGACATTCCCAAGGTCACAAGGCTTAGCAGGGAGCTTGCATCAAACCCAGGGAATACAGGTGGAGACTGAGGTTGCGAGAAACATTGAGAGGGAAGAGTGGGAGGGCAGTGGCCAGAGCTTCCAGGTTCTTCCTCCAGGCCGGTAACGCCCCTGCTTCTCCTATGCCCACACCTCTGACCGCAGGTACAAGCGCCGGGCCAGTCTGGAGGAGGCGGAGCTGGTCCAGCAGATAGATGTCACCATCAAGGAGCGACAGAACACCTTCTTTGACATGGAGGCCTACCTGCCCAAGAAGAACGGGTAGGAGCTGGGAACTTACACACCCCGCTCCCCACCCCCTGCTGGGGCAGGCACCCAGGTCGAGGACACCTGGTCTGCATAATTCTCACCTTCCCATTAGGGCTTGAGGTTGAGGGGGAAAGACAGAAGTGAGGGCAGGAAAGAGAAGGAGGCTTCTTCACATGTTTCTCCATGGACCCTGTGGGTCAGGCACTGACTGGGCGGGGCTGGGAGGGAGCCTCCTGGGGCTGGAAGTGTTTTATTCTTTGATCTGGGTGTTGGTTGCAGGGATGCATAAATATGTACAAATCCATCACATTGTATACTTAAGACTTGTGTACTTTTTTTAAAAATTGAGTTTTAGAAAAAGAGAAGAAGGGAGAGGGAGAAAGAAGCACCAGTTTGCTGTTCCACTTATTTATGCATTCACTGGGTGATTCTTATAAAAAATGCGCCCTGATGGGTTTTGAACCTGCAACCTTGGTGTGTCTGGTCAATGCTCTAACCAATGGAGCTACTCAGCCAGAGCAAGACTTATGTACTTTTGAAGGTTATGCCTTCATTTAAAAAAAAAACCTGCTTTAAATTGACCTAGATATTGTACATATACCTTCACCTCATTGGTTGGCGCTTAGTCACATGCTCACATTAGCTGCAAGGGAAGCTGGGATAAATATGGGGAGGAAAACGGGTCAGTCATGACTGTCATGTGTCACAGTCCTCCCGTTCTCTAGTTCATCGTTATTCGCACTCGATGTGAGGCCCATTGTTGCTGAGTTTAGCATCGTATGTTCTGTGCTGGCTTTTCAATGCATGCCTGTTACGTTTGAATATTTGTGGTTGGGGCTGCCCCCCGGGCTGTTAGGGACGTGGCGACTTCACCGGTCTTTCCTTCCAGGCTCTACTTGAATCTGGTCCTCGGCAACGTGAGCGTGACCCTCCTCAGCAACCAGGCCAAGTAAGTGTCCCCGGCGCCCTCTGGCTCTGCAGAACCCAGGCATTGTGCTTCTGACGCAGGGAGAGGGGCCCACGCTAGAACTTCTGCGTAAAGGAAGACACTTTAGCAGGTGGTGCCCTGGCTCTTGGTCTCTCTGACTAACCCCCTGGGAAAGGCTTCCTTCATGGTTTCCATATGTTGGGGGGACAGGACTGCGCTTCCGACCTCCAATGGCTCTGCTCCATTCCTCGTCTCGTCTCGTCTCATACACTTTTCTCCTGGGAAACAGACAGTTGTGTCCAGCCACAATCTGTCAAGTTACTAGGGAGGTGGAGCCGTGGCGTTTTGGGGGAGGGGATCCCGTCTCGCTCCCTAATTGACGTCACCATTCATTTAAGGTCCAGTCTCTCCTTTAGTGGGATCACAAGGTCCTAATGGGGTGTGGTTGGCAGTATGTCAAGGATCCAATGGGGCCAGGGTCCTGCCCCCAGTGGGATGTAGTTATACTACCATAAATGTAGTAACAGTCACGTGACCTTTCCTGGGCATGTCTGTTGCCATAGATTTGCCTACAAGGACGAGTATGAGAAGTTCAAGCTCTACCTGACCATCATCCTGCTCCTGGGGGCTGTGGCCTGTCAGTTTGTCCTTCACTACAGGTAAGGCAACGTGGCAGTGGGGACATGCTGGGGCGAGAGGGGATCGTGAGAGAGGGATCCAGGGTCCCTCCTGCATCCACCATGTTTGTGTGGTGAGGTGTCGATAGAGAAGGGCCATTTCTCATGAGAAATAGCAGTCCTGTTCGCCATAATACCTCCAATAATATCTACTAAAGGGCTGCTGCAGAGGCCTCGAGTGCAGTCAGGAAAAAGCCCAGTTTGGCCATGTTCGCACAATGGAATAGTATTTGGCCGTAAAAGGAAATGACATTCTGACACAGGCTACAGCACAGATGAATCTGGGAAACATTACAGGGTCAGGCAAAAGTGGGTTTACAGTTGTGAGTATGTGAAACACAGAGTTTATTCTTGTGTTGTTATTAATGATGGTGTTATTTTCCATAAGAAAACTGTAAACCTCCGTTTGTATGTTAAGTGAAAGAAGCTGGTCATAAAAGGTCACATAGCGTATGATTCCATTTATGTGAAATGTTGAGAACAGGTAAATCCATAGAGACTGACAATAGATTAGTGGATGCCAGGGGTTGGTGGGGGCAGCGAATGGGAAGGGACTGCAGATGGGTATGGGTTTCTTTGGGAGTGATGAGAATGTTCTGGAATTAGGTAGTAGTGATGGATGCACAACATTGTGAATACACACACACACAAAAACACACCAAATGTATACTTTAAAAGGGTGAATTTTATGGTATGTGAGTTATATATCTCAGTTACAAAAAGAAAGAGGGAGGAAGGGAACAAAAAGCAAGGAAAGAAAGAGAGAGGGAATAGGTCACAGAGAACCTTGGTTTGCTCGTGGCTTTGAGACTAATTGGCTATTACCGTAGGCAGGTTCCCTTTGGGGGCCTCCATGTCCCCGTCTGTAAAATGAGGGTGACACCATTGCCCACCTCACAGGGTACTCGTGTGTTAACACTGTACGTGGAGGGCTCTGTCCAGCATGTGCCACCCAGCAGTGCATTGAGGACAAGGCCAGGGGCTGAAGCCACATTGCCCCAGGGGGTTTCATGTCTCCATGTGGTTTTCTGCCCCAGGGGAGGCGGCCAAGCACAGCTTGGGCATTTGGCCCAGGTGTTAAGGGTTTATTTCCTAGCAGACGCTTGGCCGGGAGTCCACTTGCTGGTCTGGCCACTTGAATGTCCAAAACAAAGGCTCATTTAGGCCCTGGACCCCTGCCTGCCTGCTGCCTTGGGCCTGGCCCGCTTCCCTGGAGGGCAAAGGCTGCACCCATCAGTAATGCCAGCTCACATGCCCCTCTGGACGGGGGTGAAAGTTCTCAGTGAGTAACCAGATTCCTGTGCTGGGACCTCTGGGCCCTCGGAGGGCAGACCTGTGGTGTGTTGTGCAGTTAGTTCCAGGGCTCACTGAGGGCCTGGATGTTCCCACTGCTCCCCACCCCGTTCTGTCTTCCTTTCCAAGGGGTGTCGTAACAAGCACCACAAGCTGGTGCCTCGAAACAACAGAAACAGATCCTCTCCCGTCTGGAGGCCACAAGTCTGAAATGAGGGGTGGGCGGGACCGTGCTCCCTCTGCAGCCTGAGTGCTTCCTTGCTTGTCCACCTCCTGGTGGTCGCTGGCCACCTTTCGTGTTCCGTGGCTTAAAGCTGTTTCACTCCGGTCTCTGCCTCACGTGCCTCAGTCTTGCCAGGTGGCCTCCTTCCCTGTGTTTTTCTGAGTCTCTCTCATGACCTTCTTAGGAGGATACCAGTCCTTGGATTTAGGACCCACCCTAATCCAGTGTGACCTCCTCTTTTAAAAAAAAATATTTTATTGATGTTTTACAGAGCGGAAGGGAGAGGGATAAAGAGTTAGAAACATCGATGAGAGAGAAACACCGACCAGCTGCCTCCTGCACACCCCCAACTGGGGATGTGCTCGCAACCAAGGTACATGCCCTTGACTGGAATCGAACCCGGGACTCCCCAGTCCTCAGGCCGATGCTCTATCCACTGAGCCAGATCGGTCAGGGCTGACCTCTTAACTAATTACATTTACAAGGACCCAATTTCCAAATAAGGTCATATTTTGAGGTCCTTATGCTTAACCTTTGACAAATAACTTAACCTTGCCCTGCTTTGGTTTCTTCATAGAGAGTGAGGGTAACAGGCTTGGCTGGCGTGGCTCAGTGGTTGAGCATTGACCTATGAACCGGGAGGTCACAGTTTGATTCCCGGTCAGGACATATGCCCTGGTTACAGGCTCGATCCCCAGTGTGGGGCGTGCAGGAGGCAGCCAATCAATGATTCTCTCTCATCATTGATGTTTCTATTTCTCTCTCCCTCTCCCCTGCTCTCTGAAATCAATAAAAATATATT